AAAGGTGATAGTAAAATTGGGTATACATGATCACATAACTTTAATGTGAATTCTGCACGACCTAGCAATTTGTTTGCGGAAGTCGTGTTTGGTCCCCAGAATCTCTTGCAAGGAGAGCGTATAGTATGGGTATTATTCCTCACATTATGACCTTACTAAAACAAACATGTTTTAAGGTAATTAGTACTACAGGATGTCAATTCAAAAGACAAATGCGTACTTATAAATTCCCATTACTTTCAGTAAGTGACAATTCCACTTGAAAGCTAATACAAACTAGTTTCGAGTCAAGATAGTTATAAACTAGGGAAAACTTACATTTTACAAACGACACACAGAACAATCGAGTCTAGTACATTCAGTAGAAAGGGATCTATAATGCTAACTTTATGATTCCTTAGTGTATGCATTCAGGGATATATATTAATCGGGTCCGACAGGTAGTAGGATGTGTTCTTTCCGCTTCATTTCTTGTTCCTTGTTTGGTTGTGGGCTTAGAGCAGATACACCCAGCCTACTACCTATCCGAGCTTAGCTATATATATGTTCTGTATACACCAAGTAATCATAAGGGGTACCATGTATGGGTCAGGTCATAGGACACTAATTCAATGCACCGTTTTCTAGTACAAAACTTACTTTTCAAATGAAGAACTTTTAGAATACAAAACTAGAAACTTAACCAGTAAAGGGTTTAATCCATTTTATTAAACCAGTAAAACTTAAAGGACCTTAGGTGGTTAATTCTATAATACCTTAGTTTATACACCAGGGTTATATATAATTAATATCCGATAGGTAGTTGGATGTGTGCCTTCCGCCTCATTCCCTGTTCCTTGTTTGGTTGTGGGTTTAGGGTAGATTCACACAATTAACTATTTGTTCGATATTAGATTATATATAACTAGTATAAACTAAGTGATTATAGAAGGAACTACTATGGTTATCATTTTATTATAAGAAATAAGGGTTTTCTTAAAGGATCTTTTTATCAAATATAAAGGAACTATTACAGTTAACTCCGTGAGTACCGAGTGAACACGCAGGGGTTATATACAACGATGATCTAACAAACAATGGGATGTGTGTCTTCCGCCTCATTTCCTGTTCCTTGTTTGGTTGTGGGCTTAGGGCAGATACACACAACCGATTGTTTGTTTACTCTGGGTTTTATATAACTTGTATCCATTTAATACTCATAGAAAGGACTGTAGAGTCATTTTTACTTATCTTTCATCAAAGCAGGAAATATAGGATTTTCTGGAGGAGCAGGCAAACTTTTCTAAACAAGAACTTACTACAGCTTACTACAACTTTCTACAAACTTTCTTACTACTTACTACATCACTAAAATCTTATGAACTCACCAGCTTAAATGCTGATCTACGCTTTCAAAATAACTTGTATTCTCAGGAGACCAGTAGACAGGTTCGCGCACTGGGATTTAGAAGATGGAGCAGTATAGCTTCAAGTCTTTTTGTTATTTGCTATGTATTCTATATTATGTGGATCACATACTTTGTAAACATTTTCTTTCTAATGAAATGGTTGTTTATTACTTGCTTACTAAGATGCATGTCTTGTGATACTAAACATGACGTCCTCCGCCCCAGAACGTTTCTGTCGTTCCGGTTTTGGGGTGTGACAGATAGTTACACGAAAAGGATTCAAAAAGAAATTTATAAAGCTGAAATTGAGACTAGAAGACAGTCAAACCAAGAAATTTCTCTTGCTCGAACCGAAGATACAAAATGAACCCACATTATAAAACAATAACAAGTTTGAAGAATTTGTTTTTGGAGATTGTCAATGTTCTTAATTATGTTGAAGATGAGGGATCTACTTTACATAACCAAAATTAGGTGAACGATATTTTTCATATTTCAAGATGTTTGATTTTGTGTTTTATTTACACTTGATGTTGGACATTTTTGGTCTCACGGATACCTTATGAAGACGTCTTCAAAAAAATGATCAAGATATTTTGGAAACAGCTTCTTTGGTGAAAGTGACAATGAAAACATTGAAAGCTTTAAGAAATAATGGGTTTCGTAAAATGTTAGAGAATATATTTTCTTTTTTTCATAAACATAAAATTAAAATTGTGGAAATGCCCAAATTTTGTGTTACTCCAAGAAAGGGTAGGACCAAGGTTACGATCAACATCATTATGAAGTTTATGTTTTCAACATGGTTTTGGATATTCAAATTCAAGAATCTGTGCACTATTTTAGTGAAGTGAGCACCGATTTGCTAGAATACATGGTAGCTTTGAGTCTTTGTAATTCATTTTCTATGTTTGACAAATCAAAGTTGGTGAATCTGACTAAGTTGTACAAAACGGATTTTAATGATTCGGAAAGGTTGTATCTTGATGGTCGACTTGAAACCTATTATCAATCTTTGATTGATAATGAGAGATTTGTTAATTTAAAGGGCATCAAGGAATTTTTTTCATTTGAGGGTGGAAACCGGGAAGCGTTGACACTTCCCTTGGTTTATAGGTTATTAAAGTTGACATTGGTTTTTTCCGGTACAATCGCAACTGGTGAAAGATGTTTTTCCACTATGAAACTCTTGAATACCGACTTGAATAATAAAATGGGTGATGACTTTATGAACGATGCTTTGATTTGTAGTGTAGGAACAAAGTACTTATGGATGTAAAGATCGAACAAATAATGGAGCGCTTTTAAAAAATAGGTAAACAAAGATGTCAACTTTAAATGTAAGAATTTTGCGCTAGTTATATCTAATGAAATTAATATATATATATATATATATATATATATATATATATATATATATATATATATATATATATATATATATATATATATATATATATATCTTATTTTGTGCATATAGTATGTATCATTGACAAGAGTGAGTAAAAAGAAGACAAGAATGTCCTTTCCAATGTTCTAAGAGCCACCGTTAGAGTGTGAGGTTGGGTCAATTCCAAAGCTCATCAATAACGCCAATCCATCAAAATACAGAAAGATTATGTATATTGCAAGCTAAACAAGCTTCCACAATATTATAAACGTGTGTGTTTATATTGTGATTTACTTGAATATGGGAATGTCCCATGTAATACTAGACTATTAGATTTCAGTTTAAAGTTCTTTAAGCATAAAACTAGTTGAGTGCATTGGTGGATTCAAGAAAGAAAATACCATAGGGACATTATATAGTAACCCTAACACAAAACCTACATAAATTAATTCAAAACTTATAAGAATTTAAAAGGTAAAACTGCAATAAAGTCCTTACATATTGGCTTAATAATCGATTTAGTCCTTATATATTTTTTTATTCAATTAAGTCTCAAATACCGGTAATCGTATTCAATTTAACCCTTTGACCCGGTCAACAGGTCATCCAACTTTCAAAAATTACATTTTTGGTCCAGATTTCAAATTTTATTACAAATTTGGTCCAAAATTTACACTTTTGGCCCAGATTTTAAATTTTGTTACAAATTTGGTCCAATATTTACCCTTTTGCCCAAATTTTAGAATTTTATTATGAATTCATCCTAACTATAGTTTTTTTACAGCTTTTTTTCTCAAAAATTTGTTTCTAATATGTCTTTTCTTTATAAACTCATATTTATACAACAAAAAACATATTTTCACATAAAAATCTTATATTTTCTATATAAAAACTTTTATTAAAAAGTTTTTTGTATATGAAATATCTACTAGGAGAGGTTGATAATATATGTTTTATTTAGATAATATATTTATTAAAAAGTTATAAAAAAATATATCAAAGTTATGATTTTAACTTTTTTCTTAAAAAAATTCTTACGAATAAAATATATATTTATATATTATATATATTTTTTAAACTTTCATATATAATGTAACTAGTTTAAACTTTCCTATAAATGTGATTAAAGAACAAATAAATAATATTAAAATGAGTGTAACTAGTTTTTGACAAACTATAATTTGATAGTATAATTTAGGGTTACGTTTAATTTCTTAATTGATTTTTTAAGAGAAATCACACAAATAATCCAAACATATTTTTATAAGTAGATATTTCATATACAAAAAAGTTTTTAAAAAAAGTTTTTATATAGAAAATATAAGTTTTTTATGTGAAAATATGTTTTTTTGTATAAATATGAGTTTATAAAGAAAAAACATATTAGAAACAATTTTTTGAGAAAAAAAATTGTACAAAAACTAAAGTTAGGCTGAATTCATAATAAAATTCTAAAATTTGGGCAAAAAGGGTAAATTTTGGACCAAATTTGTAACAAAATTAAAATTTTGGGCCAAAAATGTAAATTTTGGACCAAATTTGTAATAATTTTTTAAATCTGGGCCAAAAATGTAATTTTTGAAAGTTGGATGACCTATTTACCGGGTCAAAGGGTTAAGTTGAATACGATTACCGGTATTTGGGACTTAACTGAATAAAAAAACATAATGACTAAATCGATTATGAAGTCAATATGTAATGACTTTAGTGCAGTTTTCCCAATTTAAAATAATGAACTTTTAATGAACTTGCTCACATGTATAAAATGGTCAATCAATAAACTAAAAATTCTAACATATTTTTTTTATAAGAAAAAACATTTCTAAATGGATGCCACCAATTTTAATTTATATCTTTTTTTTATAAATCAATATATTCATAATTAAGCCAACTAGGGCTAGCCTGGCTGGTAGAGAGTAATACCTTTTGGAGTAGAAGCCCCAGGTTCCAAAGTGGGCAAGAAAATTCTAACTAACGAGTAGACTAACATACTAATCAACTAATATGTCTTACAAAAAATATATTTAGAATTAAAATTTATATATACACTTATCATGCTATATAGAGAAATGTTGATTCTATTCTTCTTTATATTTAATTGTGATGAAATAACTTTTTTTTGTATTTGTAACTTTATAGAAAAAAGGTTTTATATTAACTGTCTAGAAATTTCTAACTTTTTATAATTTTTATATATGCTTTATAAAAATAAAAAACATATATAAATAACCAAAAAACCTAGTGGCCCGCTATTACATATGTGAGATGTAAATCATGTATACAGCAGCGAACAAGTGGGTAGCACGAGTATCCAACGAACCCAATTCATAATGGAATTGAAACTCTTACACTGCAGCTGCTGAGATTCAAACCTTCATCTGCTTATACACAAAAGCAAACCATGAAACTTATACATCTAACTTCATATCCTTATGCATTGTCCTAAGAACCAACGACACTTGTTCGACTTGCTCCTTAGTGGAACAAGCCGAAAGAAGCACTCTCGCAGTTCCCCCATCCGGATAACATCCATCCGTGATCATTTCCTCAAATATTTCCAAACACTTCGAATATTGTTTCTTCCTAGAATACGCTCCAAGCCTAGAAGTCCACGTCACCACATCCCGTTGCAACTTCTTGGAGGGCAACAGTCGGAAAATCTCTTCCATTTGTTCAAAATATCCCGCACGTCCATAAATGTTGATCAAGATATTGTATGTTGTGATATCGGGTACGTATGGTTTGTTGTTTTCCATAACGGATAAAACTTGTTCCATCTTTTTGAAATGACCAAAACGCCCGTAGACGTTTAGCATGGTGTTGAGCACAAATGTGTCGGGGTCGAGTCCGGACTTGTGCATTCTTGTCACTATTTCTTCGCATTTTATAATGTTGCCAACTTTTGAGTAGGCAGATAGAAGCACCATATGTGATTTCATTGTTGGCTCAATTCCTAGCCTTTTCATTTCCTCAAATACTAATCGAGCATCTACACAAAGAAATAAAAACAATCGAGAATGACATTTACAACATTGTACTTTGAAATTTTACCTAATTATAGCAATGTGAATGTCATAGTACAATTGCATATTCACTGTCCCCATATATATGAATAGTGAATATGTGGTTGTTATGCATCTAATTTTTGGCGTAGAAGCACCCAAAACGACGTAGTTTTGACTAAAAAAATCACTTTGTACAAAAATTTCTAAACTTGGCAACCACGTGAAAAAAGAATTAAAAAGCTTTTTCTTACCCTCATGAAGACCAGATCTTCCATACGCATCAACCATGATGTTAAATGATGCTCTATCTGGTTCACATCCCATATGCTGCATTAATGAAAAGATTTCTGCAGCACCATAAGGAAAACCTGCCCGGCTGTTGGAAAAATATACAAAATTTGTTACATTATGTCAAAAAAGATCATAATAAAAGGGACCCACAAGATGAAAATGTTAAATGATGACCTGTAAGCTTCCATGAGTGCATTATAAGCATAAACATCAGGCTCAATTCCAGCTTCTTGTAGCTGCTCAAATACATCTTCTGCTTTCTCACAAAGTCCTTCTCTAGCAAATGCATTTATCAAAGCAGTATAACTACAAATATTCGGTTTGCACTTTTGACTTTTCATTTCATTGAACACCTTCAAAGCCATGTATGAACGATTTGCCTGGAAAGTATACAAAACAAACTTAAAACCTTGCAAAAAGGTGAACAAGAAAAGAACTTCAATAGATAAAATATATTGTTTTTTTTTAATAAATGAAAACTGCAATTTTTATCACCTTCCCGTATAAGTTTATCAACATTGTATAGGTATCAGTAGAGGGTTGGCAGCAATTTCTCTTCATCCTTTGGAAAATCTCTACAGCTTTCTGTGAGTTTCTTCCCTTTATCAGCCCATCAATATAGGCATTATACACCACAGCACCTGCAAGAAATAGCAATATACTTTCATATATTTATATTTGTTATAATTTATATCATCCGATAGAAATTGCAATGATGTAATAAGGATGCTGTAATACTTGGTGGAAGACTGTAATTCTTCATTTCCATAAAGACAGCTTCAGCTTTGTCTAGTAATCCAGATGTACAATAGGCTCTTAGAAGAAGGGCATAAGTGTCCTCAGTAGGAATGCATCTAGCTTCAAGTAGGTTGAAATAAGTAGATTCTGCTTTTTCAGGGGATGACTTTTGGCCAAAAGCATCTATAAGTAAATTGTAGCAAATGACATCTGGCTGGAAACTACTCCTGTACAATATCCATTCACACATCTGTAATGAGAGTAGATGTTGACAAATGATCAAACAAATATGTCACAAATGTAATATAAAGACACCAAAATGGTTGTTAGTTACCAATATGATTGGATCCCATCTTTTATTGAGACGAAATTGAACAGCAACATTGATGATATCATCCCATGTAGTGTGAGTGGGAGGAAGACTATTAAGAGCATCCCATACCCTGTTCACATCACTTTCCTTTTTCATGAAGTTCAAAATCTGTTGTGCATCAGGACTTAACACTGGAAATATTCCATCCACAAACCCTGATCCATATTTCCATCCCTGTCCCCTTAAAGAACCCCCTATACAGAAATAATATAATATGCATTTCATAAGATTATTAAAACAATACTTTAGATTCTAAGATAATGAAAAAAGAACTTTTTTACATACCTCTTTTCCTTGAAACTTTTTTGTGATTGAAGTTTCTTAATTTCCCCTGCTTGTCTATGTAAAGACTATCACGTTTGAATTTGTCTCTAGGCTGAGCATCAGAATTTCTGGCTGTCCATCCATGGTTGCACTTGCAACTTCTTGGGTAGATAAGGAAATAATTTGCAGCAAATTTGATAGTCAGCCTACAAACAGCAAGTTCAACACTAAGAAAAAGATATGGAATTACTTCAGAAAATGTACATTGCACCCATACAAAAACTTCATCAGCATTGTACTTCGATTGTGATTTGTTCCATTCATCTCTTATTTCCTTACCACTCATCACTAAATAGTAAATGCATATGTCCTGTAAAATTCACAACTTGAAAATGCTAATTACTCATTTATGGATTGTCAAACACCACAATCTCGTAAGCATTGTACTTCGATTGCGATTTTATTCAATTAATTCCTATTTTGCTAATCACTCGTCGATAAATTATCTTTCCTGTAAAATTCTTAAAGTGGTTTTTGTTGCAAATAATCGTGAGAAAGAGAAACTTACATCTAGAATTCGACTGACGAGATGAAGATAGACCTTCTGTTGCCGTGGAATCGGTGTGAGAGAGCATGAAAATATCTGCAGAAAAATTCGGAGAAGAAAACAAATTCATATAATCATATCTCGTTGTGTAAACGGTCACTAGTTGTTCAAGCGCTGAAATTTTGGATAGAACCGGAGGAATTATGGTTGTAAAAGTGCAGTTTATTTGTATAAAAATAACAAAAGTACAAGGGGAGGAGTGAAAGATCATGTAAAGTTAGAGGACCAATGATAAAATTAAATTAAATCAATTTGTCACATAGAAGCCTCTCAATTCCCCTGCACGGGTCCAGATTCCACAGTTCAATAGACGCCGTCTCCGGCAGTATCTCGCCGACCTCTCCGCCTCCGGCCGGACGGCAATCAAGTAAGTTATACTGACACCATTTATGTTATCTGTATCAGAATCCTATGTGCTTATCCAGATCTCACCCAATGACAGCTCGACACTCCAATTTAGGTTTTACTACGTTCTGATCAGTTACGAATTTTCTACTGGATTCTTTTCTTGAATTGATCAAACTTCTGATTATCAGTTTTTTGGATTTTTTTTGTTTACTTCTCTACCCTCTGTGTTTGTGTTTGAATCTGGTGAGGTTTGTGATTTAAAAATGTCACAGTTGGATCCCGTTTCTTCTGTAGCGAAATGCAGATCAATCAAATAGATTAACATTATTGAAGATGAACACGAATTTGCTGTATTTCCGCAAAAAATAATATTTCATTGATTATTGAGAGTGATTTTTATCACTACTGAAATCATGAGTCTTATTTTTGTTCTGGAACCTAATTTATGTTTTATGTTTAGAGCTAAATGCAAGAAATAGCAGCATAGATTTATTTATACGTGTATAGTAGCATCAAACTTTCGAATGAACCTAATGATAAAATTGGCGTTTATGTTGCAGGAGTAATTAGAGTTCTCTTCAGGGAAAAATGAGCTAAAATCAAGTGAAAACAATGGCGCCCAAATATAACAATAGCAACAAACCTTTTACATGTTCAATTTCAACTTTCTTTCTCTCAATCTCCTTCCTTTTTGCCATCTTACTCTCCCTCTTTCTTCTATCATCTAATCAAACATCCAAATCCACATTACTCTCTTCATGTCTCATTTCCACTTCTACCCCCAATTCAATTAAAGTATATGTTTCAGATCTACCTCGATCACTCAACTATGGTCTTCTAGAAAAATACTGGTCTCTGTCCCATGATTCAAGGTTAGGAAGTGAAGTAGACAACCAAATCCGATCAACCAATTCTTGGAACAATAACAAAATCAAAAACATTCCAATGTATCCCGAGAGTCCATTGATCAAACAGTACAGTGCAGATTACTGGATCATGGGTGACCTGGCAACACCACAAGAATTAAGAACTACATCTTTTGCTAAACGGGTTTTTGCTCCTGAAGAAGCTGATGTCATTTTTGTCCCTTTTTTTGCAACAATAAGTGCTGAGTTACAACTTGGTGTTGCAAAAGGGGTTTTTAGAAAGAAAGATGGAAATGAGGATTATGCAAGACAGAGGGAAGTTTTGGATTTTGTTAAAGGGACTGAAGCTTGGAAACGATCAAATGGTAGAGATCATGTGTTTGTTGTTACAGGTATTATTATCTTTCTTCTTGTTTCCTTAATTAACTCTTCCTTTTTATGATTTCATATGCATTACATTATAAGCTTTGTAACAGACCCTGTTGCAATGTCGCATGTTAGAGAGGAGATAGCTTCATCCATTCTGCTTGTTGTTGACTTTGGTGGGTGGTATAGGGTTGACTCAAAAGCTGCTAATGGAAACACATCTGATCATATGATACAACATACACAAGTTTCATTGCTGAAAGATGTTATTGTGCCCTACACTCATTTGCTCCCGAGGTTGGACATTTCACAAAATCAAAAACGCAAAACTCTTCTTTATTTCAAAGGAGCTAAACATCGACACAGGGTATGTTCATGCTCTTCTACTTTTCATCATACTTTTAATTTTCATATTACAACATTATCCTCAGTGAAAATTGCTTTGTTTAGGGGGGTTTAATACGAGAAAAACTATGGGATTTACTAATCGATGAATCCAAAGTCATAATGGAAGAAGGATTCCCGAATGCAACCGGAAAGGACCAATCAATAAAAGGAATGAGAAATTCCGACTTTTGCTTACATCCAGCTGGCGACACTCCGACCTCATGCCGCCTTTTTGATGCCATTCAAAGTCTTTGTATTCCGGTGATTGTAAGTGACAACATCGAGCTCCCATTCGAAGGAACAATTGACTACACAAAGTTTTCGGTATTTGTAGCCGTGAGTGAAGCCCTACAACCAAATCGGCTTGTGAATCGGCTCAAAAGCTATACAAATTTGCAAAAAGATGAGTTTAGACAAAACATGGCTCGGGTGCAGTCGTTTTTTGAGTACGATAATGGTTACCCGGGTGGTGTTGGTCCGGTCCCGGTTAATGGTGCGGTGAATTTTATATGGCGGAAAGTGCATGAGAAGTTGCCGGTGATTAAAGAGGCGGTGGTTCGAGCGAAGAGGAAACCGGCGAATGTGGTGGTCCCGCAACGGTGTCATTGTACTTGAATTAAGAAAATATAGCAAAAATTGTTTAAGGGTTCGAATCTCAGCAGCTGCAGTGTGGAGTTTCAGTGCCAATGTGGATTGAATTGTTATATGGGAGGTATCTTGTGGGTTGTTGTGTATCTGATTTACATCTGACATGATAGCTGTTGTGGCTGTGGTTGCTTGGAAGAGTAAACATTTTGTAGGAAAATGTTTGTTTTGGGTTGTGTATAATGGGATTTAATTGTTGTGTTTGTTATAGTACGTTATGTTTCGGTCATTTATGATCCAAAGACGAAAAACTGAGACGGATATTGTTATGTGATAGTGTTACGACTAAAAAATATTAACCGATTTGTTTCGTCTGATTTTATTTTATTTTTTTACTCTCTTTGTAACATCACTAATGGGATAAGTTAATTAGCTCTTGGTATGCATTAATCAAAGAAAGAATAAAATGGAACATTACAGTGGAATAAAGAAAAATCATTTTTGGTTATCATTAAGAAATGGAATGAAACATTCCTCATGAAATGTGAATCCTTGTAGGTTGATTTTCTTTGTATGGGGAAAGAATGTTTTTTTATTACTTTAGGCAATAGAATGATATATACTATAAGTATAAATTATTTGCATTCGTATAATCTTCTATAAATACTAACCCTTTTGAAATTTTTAAAATTGATAATCTTTTTTTTTTAAGATAAAGAAAATACTTTTCTATTATATTTATATTTTAAGATTTTATGGTGTGCAATTCCTTTTATTTTGTAACTTTTTAAGATCATTGATAAAAAAAATCAACTATTGCGTATTTTGAATGAAATAATATATGTTTACCAGTTTATATGCAATTTTTTCATTTAATTAAATTTATTTTGATAAGATAATATTTTTTTCCTTTATTTATCAATTTTACTTTATTTAGTTTTTTATTTATCATAACAAACAAACAACATGTTTGAATGATTCATTTCAAAAAACCAAATATGACAATAAAATGTAATAATTCATTATATTACATTGTTATTATATTGTGTTCATTTTGTTCTATCATACCAAACACCATGTTATAGTTATTACTTTAAAGTTTGTAGGCTCGAAATTATTTAGGAAAATATAGACAAACGAAATTTGAAGATTAAAAAGTTGCATTGGTTGTATCATATATGTGACCCACTTTACCCTTGACCACTTTTTTTTTCTTTTAAACCTATGTAAGTGACACATGTTCTCTTTTTTTCACTAAAATCTCATATACGTGACCCACTTCATCCTTGACCTCTTTTTTTTTAACCTATGTAAGGACCACATGTTCATTTTTTAGAAGAGCATACACATACACTTATTATTTTACTTCTAAATTATTATCTTTCATCCACAAGACTTGAACGTAACCTCTTTAACTGAGTGACTCTTATCCGTCAACTTTTAATACCGTTAAGACAAATGTCATTTGGAAGCACATCTTGTCTTTTAATGTGGTTTTTAGACGATAACATTCTTAGGGACCACGCATGCAATTTTTGGAAACCATGGAGATGACTAATTTTTGAAAATTTAGACTGAAACAATAGATAGATGTAAACCATACCAAAACCATAAGTTACTCTTATATTTATATATAAATAATTACAAAAATGATGTAACATGTTTAAAGGACTAATGACATGATATGGTTTAAGAATTATTAACCCTAAAAACCTTTTTTCCAACTTTTAGCAAACAACATCTATAATAGATTGTAGAGCTTTTTAATTCAACTTTTTCCTATTTTGTTTTTCAATAAAGATAACATTACGTAATTTAGCAAAAAAAATACATCTCCCAATTGAATGACACTTTGGAAAATGACGGCTGACTACAGGTTGTTTTCACAAGTAGTCGAATTAGATATGTCATGTGGCATTTAAATACGGTGTTTCGACAACTCAACAAAAGTATTCTTTTATTTATATATATATATATATATATATATATATATATATATATATATATGATGTAACATGTTTACAAGACTAATGACATGATATGGGATGGTTTAAGAATCATTAAACCCTAAGAACCTTTTTTTTCTAACTTCTAGCAAACAACATCTACAATAGATTGTAGAGCTTGTTTATTCAACTTTTTCTACTTTGTTTTACCATAAAGATAACATTATATTGTTGTTTGTTTTTCCAGGGATAAAATATTTGCAGTCTACAGACTATATCCGCAAACCTCTGTAGAAAAAGAGGTTAATCAAACATCTACAATCTGTAAGAAGAAGACTGTTTGTTTTTTAACGTTTGCAGACTGCTAAAATAAACTTGAATTCAAATAAACTATTTTACAACCATAAAATAGTTTTTCAACACTGAAATTTAAATAATTTCAGTCCTACAACACTCAAAACTTAAATAAAATTCATATAACCTGTGACAACCCGAAACTTTTATCATGTGCAATTGATCTGTATATCAATATTAAACTCGAATTTATCATCTTTTAACGAAATTGTGGGTCCATATGAGTGCTCTAGGCTTAGTATAACCTAGATATGAGTCTTAAGAAGGATAAGAAAGTGTGTAGCATCACAAAATCGGGCCAAACACACCAAAGAAGGTGTGTGCGGCCGCACACCAGCGTGTGCGGCCAGCCAGCCGCACACCCAGCCGCACACACCCTCCAGCCTCACACCCGACCCTATATATTGAAGGAGACCCCCTTCATTCACTATTTTCTTCTTTTGGCTGCACCCTACTCTCTCTCTCTCTCTCTCTCTACTTTCTCTCTCTAGAAACATCATCCAAGAACACTCTAAAGGCCTCAAAAACGTGAACTACTCCATTATTCAGCTTGTTATAGTGGTAAGACACCTGAATCTAAGCCTAAAACTCATAGTGTTCTTCGTGTTCTTCATCCTTTGAAGGTGTACGGCCGCACACCTTCATAAGGTGGCCGCACACACACTAAAACTCTCCAAAGTGAAGAGTTTGGCCTTCATTTACTAGTAGGACTTAGTATTAGCACAAGAACACCTCAAAATCGACATTTCGGGCACAAATGAGGAGTGTACGGCTGCACACTCCTGTGTACGGCCGCACACACACTCTGTACGGCCGCACACTCCTGTGTGCAACCGCACACGCAGCCTGGCCGCACACCCACTCAAATGGCCGTACACCTCCCTTAATTGATCATATAGGGTCCCGACAAGCATTTCCAAGTCTTTAGGGTGGTTTCAGGTCATGTTTAGCCATAAAACACCCTAATTCTAACACACATATGTGTTATCACATGCTAATAGGATCCATTTGCGTGAGAAACATCGGTTGACACTCAACACTCGTAACCAACTGTGCTTTCGAATCTACGATAAACAGTGAGTTCATACCCCAACATTTTCCGTGTTTTTAATGTTTTCAGGGGGGAATACAAGCAAAAGTACAAGGAAACTTGTGCTCAAAATTATCTCGTTTTGCATAAAATGATTTTATGTTCAGTATGCTTTTAACTCAGAAAACCGTTTTACCAATCGATTAAAGAAATCAACTTGTAGAAACAGTTTTCATATCTAAAGCAAGAAACTGATGAATCATGTAATAATATGTATTATCTTACAAAGGATTCATGCAAATCATAAACAGGATTTTCGTATTATTACTTGTAAATTTGTTAGGCTAAGTTTGAGACATGTCTTTGGTAATACTCCCCCGAATTCGTGAGTGGAGGACTACGACTTATAACCAGAATCTCTTGGAGGGAGAACGTGACTATTGTGTATAGATCTATATGGGACTGACTAACCCGCACCCTCGCTGCTAGCTACAGCGGAACCGTTAGGTTCAGGGGTGACAAAGTCATAAAAGATACTGGCCCCCGTCCGTGCCTTATCCAGTCTAAGTACGGTTATGGCACTCACAACTTAGGTAACGAGAATTTACTTATGTAATAATGAAATCAATGAACTAACCTCAAAGTAATAACCGATTTGATTACTAGAGGGCATCAGTAACACCCTTAGGATCTAGTTCACTACCTATCTTATTAGTTTTATTTACGTAATAAGGCTAATACATCTCACAGTGAGTAACCAGGGTTTTTCAAAGAAACTACATCTATCGATACAAGTATGATAGATACCTGTACACCTCGTATTATAATCAAAAATCAACTATCAACTTTGAAGGAAAATATAGGGTTTTCCTGGGATAACTTAACCTTTCATAAAGCAGGTTGTTTAACGTGTAACCAATGGATAATCAAATCTCTTTCATAAGAAAATATGGGATTTTCTTGGGAAACAACTTTTCAAATAATCAAAGAAACATTTCTTTCACCGGAATCAAACGCTTATGAACTCACCAGCTTTATGCTGATATATTTTAAAACTGCTTGTATTCTCAGGGCATCAATAGACAGGTACTCTTGCCAACTTTTGGAGAAGACGGAACACTCTGAAGTCACGTCTTTTACTTTTGCTATATACTGTTATGTATAAATCATGTTTTTGAACAATGTAAATATTCATATTATAATGTAATGGTTGTGTTTACTTCGCTTACTATGACACAACTGTTGTGATACTACGCATGACGTCCTCCGCCTCGGAACGTTTCCGCCATCGGTTTCGGGGTGTGACACCCCCTGAAAACATTAAAAACACGGAAAATGTAGGGGTATGAACTCACCAGTTTTATGCTGATATATTTTAAAACTGCTTGTATTCTCGGGGCATCAATAGACAGGTACTCTTGCCAACTTTTGGAGAAGACGGAACACTCTGAAGTCACGTCTTTTACTTTTGCTATATATTGTTATGTACAAATCATGTTTTTGAACAATGTAAATATTCATATTATAATGTAATGGTTGTGTTTACTTCGCTTACTATGACACAACTGTTGTGATACTACGCATGACGTCCTCCGCCCCGGAACGTTTCCGCCATCGGTTTCGGGGTGTGACAGATTGGTATCAGAGCTATTGTTTATAGTGAACTAAGTATACCGAACCTTACATGGTATACAACTATAAACACTAAGGGGCTGAAGTGCTCTGAACTAAAAGTATACTTTTAAAAATATAAGTATTTTTACAAAAAGTATACAAGTATACCTACATACCAGAATCCGTATCACGAGTAGAACAAAACAAAAGTATTTTGGATGTTGAACACTGCGGTTAAACCTGGGTAGTTACGTAATCATGTCTAGGGTCAATATAGCCTGATCAACTATATTCATTCGAGACATGACCAACATGTGTTTGGGAGTGACTTTGGTGTTGCAACAGGCCTAAACTTACCCGGTATCCATACAACTTAAAATACTATAGGAGTATTTTAGTCAGAGCCGAATACATGGTAGAAAT